GGCAGTGTTGAGTCTATGGGCAGTGTTGAGTCTATGGGCAGTGTTGAGTCTATGGGCAGTGTGAGTCTATGGGCAGTGTTGGGTCTATGGGCAGTGTTGGGTCTATGGGCAGTGTTGAGTCTATGGGCAGTGTTGAGTCTATGGGCAGTGTTGAGTCTATGGGCAGTGTTGAGTCTATGGACAGTGTTGAGTCTATGGGCAGTGTTGGGTCTATGGGCAGTGTTGGGTCTATGGGCAGTGTTGAGTCTATGGGCAGTGTTGAGCCTATGGGCAGTGTTGAGTCTATGGGCAGTGTGGGTCAATGGACAGTGTTGAGTCTATGGGCAGTGTTGGGTCTATGGGCAGTGTTGGGTCTATGGGCAGTGTTGAGTCTATGGGGAGTGTTGAGTCTATGAACAGTGTTGAGTCTATGGACAGTGTTGGGTCTGTGGACAGTGTTGGGTCTATGGGCAGTGTTGAGTCTATGGACAGTGTTGAGTCTATGGACAGTGTTGGGTCTATGGGCAGTGTTGAGCCTATGGGCAGTGTTGAGTCTATGGGCAGTGTGGGTCAATAGACAGTGTTGAGTCTATGGGCAGTGTTGGGTCTATGGGCAGTGTTGGGTCTATGGGCAGTGTTGAGTCTATGGGGAGTGTTGAGTCTATGAACAGTGTTGAGTCTATGGACAGTGTTGGGTCTGTGGACAGTGTTGGGTCTATGGGCAGTGTTGGGTATATGGGCAGTGTTGGGTCTATGGGGAGTGTTGAGCCTATGGACAGTGTTGAGTCTATGGGCAGTGTTGAGTCAATGGGCAGTGTTGAGTCTATGGGCAGTGTGGGTCTATGGGCAGTGTTGGGTCTATGGGCAGTGTTGGGTCTATGGGCAGTGTTGAGTCTATGGGCAGTGTTGAGTCTATGGGCAGTGTTGAGTCTATGGGCAGTGTTGAGTCTATGGGCAGTGTGAGTCTATGGGCAGTGTTGGGTCTATGGGCAGTGTTGGGTCTATGGGCAGTGTTGAGTCTATGGGCAGTGTTGAGTCTATGGGCAGTGTTGAGTCTATGGGCAGTGTTGAGTCTATGGACAGTGTTGAGTCTATGGGCAGTGTTGGGTCTATGGGCAGTGTTGGGTCTATGGGCAGTGTTGAGTCTATGGGCAGTGTTGAGCCTATGGGCAGTGTTGAGTCTATGGGCAGTGTGGGTCAATGGACAGTGTTGAGTCTATGGGCAGTGTTGGGTCTATGGGCAGTGTTGGGTCTATGGGCAGTGTTGAGTCTATGGGGAGTGTTGAGTCTATGAACAGTGTTGAGTCTATGGACAGTGTTGGGTCTGTGGACAGTGTTGGGTCTATGGGCAGTGTTGGGTATATGGGCAGTGTTGGGTCTATGGGGAGTGTTGAGCCTATGGACAGTGTTGAGTCTATGGGCAGTGTTGAGTCTGTGGGTGGATACCGTCAGTGGAGGCGGCTCAGTATTACACCATCATCATTATTATCATCATCTTTACCGTTGGCAAGACCATTTCAGTCCACGAGTCGCAGGACAGGACATTCTCACTTCGTCAGTGACACCTGAGCTGGCCATCGCTTTCTCGGCCCCAGCGTCTCGGCGTGGCCAATCGCAGCGATCGTGTGCGACAACCACTGTGACGTCGGCTGGGGCTGCTTGTCGAGTAATGCACTCCGATTGGCCAAAAAAAACAGGAGCCCACGTGTCCAGCCGGGGCGTTCGCCCCGCCACATGGCTCGGACGCGTTCCCCTCCATCTCATACATTCGAAACTTTGCCCTGCACGGTAACAATGGCGCGGCAAGACTGTTGATGATGATGAAAGCGATTTTAAAGACCGGTGGAGCGAGGCATCAGGATTTTAGTTTCTTTATTTGCGTAAAAAACTTTTATTGTTTTTTTTTAAAACATATCCGCTGTTATCAAATCGCTTTGGGAACTTCTCCCCCTCTCTCTCTAATATAATCTACTCAATCAGCCGATTGCATGACCACGTTAAATACCAAATAAACAGTATCAATAGCAATAACCACAGTAATTAACGAAAATCACCCCACAGTTTTCAACCGGGGGGGGGGGGGGGTGGGGGGGGGGATTTGTTTCAGTCCGGGGACCTCTCGGGAAAAAAATGTTAAATCTCGCACGGCACACGTAGCTCCAGTTATCCATAATAGAGGTCGTTGTGGGTTGGATCGCGTCGTTATGCGATCCAACCCAAAACAACGATCACAATACGTTTACGCGATCCAAACCCACAGCACATCTAGTATGAATAATATTGGTCGCCAAATCCTACCACTACTGCTGCTGCATGGCTTCACGAGCCACGTGCCTCCCCCACTCAAGTAAAAAAGATATCTGGTAAGAAATTAATCCCCGGCTGCGTCGCCAAATCAATCCCCGACAGCCCGGCACCGGAGGCGTCTCCGGCACCGGTGGCGTCTCCGGCACCGGAGGCGTCTCCGGCACCGGAGGCGTCTCCGGCACCGGAGGCGTCTCCGGCACCGGTGGCGTCTCCGGCACCGGTGGCGTCTCCGACAACTGCGAACGCGAGGGGGAAGGGAGGGAAACTCGAAGTTGGTGAAGAGGGTCGAGTCTCTCTTCTCTCCCGTCCTCGTTCACGCGCATCTCTCCACCTGGCCCGGGAATCGACCGGCTGCGCACTGGGCACAGTGAGTGCGCACAGGTGACCAGAGAAGGGAAGACAGAATTACCAGAACCAGACACCAGCCCTACCCATAGCGTACTGGTCAACCAGACACCAGCCCTACCCATAGCGTACTGGTCAACCAGACACCAGCCCTACCCATAGCGTACTGGTCAACCAGACACCAGCCCTACCCATAGCGTACTGGTCAACCAGACACCAGCCCTACCCATAGCGTACTGGTCAACCAGACACCAGCCCTACCCATAGCGTACTGGTCAACCAGACACCAGCCCTACCCATAGCGTACTGGTCAACCAGACACCAGCCCTACCCATAGCGTACTGGTCAACCAGACACCAGCCCTACCCATAGCGTACTGGTCAACCAGACACCAGCCCTACCCATAGCGTACTGGTCAACCAGACACCAGCCCTACCCATAGCGTACTGGTCAACCAGACACCAGCCCTAACCATAGCGTACTGGTCAACCAGACACCAGCCCTACCCATAGCGTACTGGTCAACCAGACACCAGCCCTACCCATAGCGTACTGGTCAACCAGACACCAGCCCTACCCATAGCGTAGTGGTCAACCAGACATTAGCCCTAACCATAGCGTACTGGTCAACCAGACATTAGCCCTAACCATAGCGTACTGGTCAACCAGACATTAGCCCTAACCATAGCGTACTGGTCAACCAGACATTAGCCCTACCCATTCAACTAATACCTAACCCAAGCCAGGCAACACCGTCCAACCAGAAGCCAACCCTGCACATAACCCTATAAAACTGGCCAATCGGATCCCATCTCTGGATCTACCCCTAACCCCGAGCCCCACCGCGTGTATCGAGTCGTCCCCTCTTCGCTCCCCCTCCTCGTCATCCCCCCCCCCCCCGTACCCCCCTCCGTGACGATCACGCGCCAACGTCCCGCGAAACGGAACATTAAAGTCACCTCGTCAACAAGCAATCGCAAGGAAGATGTCGAGATGGACAATTAACAGCAAACGAAACAAACCGCGCGTGGAATTTCGCGAGTAAAGAATAAAAAGTGACACGCCCTTCTCCTCCCTCCACCCCCAGCGCGGAGGCACCAGGGCGAAAGCAAAGCAAGCAACAGCATCGTGCCCCAAGTAGCTCAAGAGATGAATCAACGCAATAGGTGGGTGTGCAGCTCAATGAAGTCACGGGGTAATATCGCTGCCAAGAGGCCATAGGTTCAGCACCTCTGGTAGAACAGCGCAACATTCAAACAGCGACATCATCATCACCACGACGACGACGACTACTAACTACGAATACCAACTACTAATGACTACTACGACTAATAACTACTACGACTAGTAACTATTCAGGAGAGATGCGCGACTCCAACTCGCCGCATTCTAAGATTGCATTCGTGTGCAAAATGTTCTAACGCCGAGGGAGCGGAGGGATTGAAATCTGCCTCCTCTCGCCACGAGCCGTGGGAGTCTCTTCCCTGCATCCCCCCCCCCCCCCCCCCCCCCCAAGTGAAACGAAGTCTCAGCGTCTCAACAATGGCAGTCTTCCAGCAGGCAATCATCATCATCATGGGTTAAAATGACTGCGCCAGACGATGACGCCTTTGATCGGCTGCCGATGTCGCTCTACACTGACGTGCAGTGACCAGAGCCTCGGCTGTGCATGGATACAAAATACTCACTTGCAGAGATGTCAAGAGCAGTTCTGTGGCATCTACTTTCGTGGTTCATTAACACGCACGCACGGTATCGCCTTCCGCTAACGTGCGCGGATACAAAATACTTTTCTTGCAGACATATTAACCACTCAAACATATTTCCCGGAACGCCGCTCCGCCGGCTTCAGTTGGGGTAGGCATTTTTGGTGTAAGGCACTACCACTAGAGTGCAAGTCACGCTTCCCCATTAAAATAACCCGATACATGATGAGCTGTACCCCGCATTCCCCTGTGAGCCCACACGATCAGGGTATGGGAGGAAAACGCAAGGCGGCGAGAAGGTCGTGGTGCATCACGGGAATTCCCCAACGTTCCGCCCCTGGAATGGAGCACGGTTCCCACTGCTCTCCGATAGTTTCTGCACGAACGCCGATTACCTGTTTCGTCTCGTGACCATATTTTACTGTCACGCCAATAACAGGCGACAGTGGTGGTAGTGGCGGTAGTTGGTGGGAGTGACGGTAGTTGGTGGTAGTTGGTGGTAGTGGCGGTAGTTGGTGGGAGTGGCGGTAGTTGGTGGTAGTTGGTGGGAGTGGTGGTAGTGGTGGTAGTGGCGGTAGTTGGTGGTAGTGGTGGTAGTGGCGGTAGTTGGTGGTAGTGGTGGTAGTGGTGGTAGTGGTGGTAGTGGCGGTAGTTGGTGGGAGTGGTGGTAGTGGCGGTAGTGGCGGTAGTTGGTGGTAGTGGCGGTAGTGGCGGTAGTTGGTGGTGTTAGCAGTGCCCGTGTCTGTCCCGTGACCTCCTGCTCCCCCAGCAGCGAGCCTTCGAAAACTTAACGTGACGGCCTCAACATGCACCTAGCCTGGCACGGCAGTGAACCTACAGCACCTGGGTCTGTCCCCGTGACTTCCCGTCTCCTCCGACACTTCACCGCGATGGCCTCGGAGTGCACCTAGCCTGGCACAAGCACCGCGGTTTTCGTTGCCTATGGTGGTAGCGGTGGTGGAAATGGTGGAAATGAAAATATTTGTGGTTTGCGGTAGACGCGTGGGCGGCTCCCACGTGGGTGTCTCCGCAAGGTGTCGCGGGGGTGGGGGGTGGGGGGGCAGGGGTGGGGGGGCTAGGTCTATCACTCTGTGCTCCCATACGAGGGCGTCGGGCTGGGGGGGCACCCCTTGCCCTTGAGACTCTGCGTGTCGCCCCCCGCATCTCCGCTCCCCTCCCCCTTGGAGGCTGCGGCGTCGTCTTGCGGGTAGACGACGCCGCACAGCTTCTGCCCGCCGTACGTCACCGCGTCTGCACGCACGGACGCACGCACAGTGACGACGTTGATGACGACGTCAGTTTGTAAGGCCGTGCCACCGTTACTCCTCGCTCTTGCAGGGAGAGAGAGGGCGACACACACACAGTGCACACACGCGCGCACACACACGCGCACACGTGCACACGCGCGCACAAGCACACACACGTGCACACATGCGCACAAGCACACACACAGTACACACACGCGCACACACAGTGCACACACAGTGCACACACAGTGCACACACAGTGCACACACACGTGCACACGCGCGCGCACACACGTGCACACGCGCGCGCACCGATGATGGTGTCGAGAAACTTGGGTCGGTTTGTCCAGTAGATGCCCAGGAAGTAGACGGGCACGCCGGTGAGCATCATGGCGAGGCCGACGCCGCACACCACGGGCTCCGACACGAGGCTGAAGACGAGCAGGAAGGCCCAGAAGAGGAGGTAGATGATGGGGAAGATCACGCTCACCTGCACTCGCACGTGGACACACACGCGGCAAACCACGTCCAGTACAGTTAGGATGCTCAACTCTTTTTTCCGGCAACAAAACTGAAACCTTTTTACAAGGATTCATGTCTGCATTAACCACAATACCTGCAGTCAAAATGCAAACAATAAACATACTATGATAATATATACATTGTCCTTGAAACTGATTGGTCTACACCAAGGGACGGCTTTCTTTTGAGCCTCGACCCAATTGGTGCTCGACCAGATGACGGCAAAAGGTGTACACAGCTGTGTATATACACATATATATACATACATGTATATACGTGTGGCAAAGAAGCGGAATGCACCATACGTAGCCACCCGTGCTATTTGGAGATGCGGGGGGGGGGGGGTGGTAAGGTCAACAAACTAAACACAAAATCAGCTCTAAAAGAAATGAGATTTCCATCTCGATGTAAAAGTGCATTGCTCCCAGTGGCTTCCTGATATCGAAATCTGTGATCAGAATGTCTCATGGAGACTGGAGGGAGAAATCTGATAAGCTATGAAGCTCTTTTGCCCAGATGTATAGTAACGGCATGGGGTCAGCGAGTTACAACAAACAAGACACAAAGATAAATGATAGGGGTAAACCAAGAGCGAACGGGGAAACACAATCACTAGAACTACATATAAACTAAAGTAACTAAAACTAACTCTTTTTCACACGCTTTTATTTAACTCACTCTCTCTGCTGTTGTTGTTGTATCCTCAAATCTTGTTACTCAATTGTAACCCACTTCGCAATGTGGTATCGACTGCAAACTTGGTATACTTATGTCTTACTGATGACAATACTATATTCTATCCAAAAACATTTTTTTATATATATGTAAACATTATTTTTTTATGTTATGTTTCGGCTTGGGTATAATTGTCCACGCTCAACTGACGTTGGCTGTAAATCACCACGGTCCCTTACGTTATGGCAAGCTTTTCGGCCACTTCCTGGAGATGTGGAGTTCTGCCATTACGAGTACGGTACACTTCATTAAAGCGTGTTTTTAAAAAAAAGTGTTTTATATATATTAGCTATTTTTATTTTAGCAGGTAAAGCCCACTGAGCTATGCAGCTCTTTTTCAGAAGTGACCTGGCCACAAATGATAGCTCAAGGAAGTGGCTTATCGTTGCACGGACATTTACAGCAGGCAAATCCTCTGAACGCGTGATGCTGATTCTAAATGTCGCGGGAAAAACCGGAGAACAATCCACGCAACAACAACACAACGGGGATAGAGGGTGAGAGACGAGCAAACTCCAAATAGACAGCAGGCGTCAGGATCGAACCCACGACCTTCCTGCATAAGGCGAGGTCGTAAACATCTCAAGTATACATTTTGATTTAAAGCTTTCGTGACTGCAGGGATTCATATTCTTGGTTCTTTTGGTAAAGTCACGAAGGGAAACAATAAAATAATAAAAATATAAAACAATAAAATTTTCACGACGTTTCGACTGCAACACAAGCAATCATCATCAGGTGTGAAAACCACAAGAAAATTTGAAAAAAGTGGCGGTTTTTTTTTACGTTAGCACCACGGAGAGCGATTTGGCAGTTTATTCAGATGGACGAGTCCATCTATGTTCGGAAAAGAGGGGGGAGACGAAAATAATGGATGCGGTCTGCAAGCCACCGTAAGTGTGAACAATAAAAAAAAAATAGAAAAACCGCCACTTTTTTCAAATTTTCTTGCTGTGGTTTTCACACCTGATGATGATTGCTTGTGTTGCAGTCGAAACGTCGTGAGAATGTTATTGTTTTATATTTTTATTATTTTATTGTTTCCCTTCTACGTGACTTTACCGAAAGAACCAAGAATATGTTATGCAAGAATAAACTGGCACAATAACCCCTCTCCTAGCCCCCATGCCGTGTGACGACCCGCAGCCCGGCGGCGCCTGAGGCCTCCCAGCCACTAGAGCCCCCACCCTCCCCTCCACACTCCCCACCCACCTCCTCCCCCCCACCACCACCACCACCCACCTTGATGGGCCTCGCAATGTCGGGCTGCTTCCAGCGCAGCACCAGCATGCCGGCGATGGTGACGCCGTAGAAGAGGTAGTTGATGAAGCCCACGTAGTTAATGAGCGTGTACATGTCGCTCGTGAGCAGCATCAGCAGGGTGGTGGCACACTGTGGGAGGAGTTGAGTGGCACGGGGAAGAGAGACAGATTGTGTGCAGGTCACTCGCTAGCAGCATCAGCAATGTGGTGGCACACCGTAAAAGACCAAAGATCCCCTGTGTGGCGTCAACAGACTGTTGGGGCAAGTGCTGTTAGCAAGTAGCGCCTGTGTGCCAAAACACATCGCGCACTTGCCCCAACAGTCTGACAAAGACTATACGGGGGATCTTTGTCGTTGGCCCTCACCCCACCACCCACTCGTGGGTGCCGTGCGGTCCTCCATATGGGCTCTCGCACAGCACTTGCCTTCGTGGGCAAGAGGCTACGTGGGGGACCTTTGTGCGTTGCGAGTACCGTGAAGAGCAGGGCGGGGATGGGTGTACACTGCCGCACGTGAATCATGGCGAGGAGACTCGGCAGGTGACCTTCCCTTGCTCCGGCGAAAAACAGCCTGATCACACACACACACACAACAACCTCAACCTCAACAACAACAACACAACAACCACACACACAACAACCTCAACAACAACAACAACAACAACACAACAACCACACACACAACAACCGCTAAAAGGCGGTGATGTCACCACGGTGCCAGGCTGTGTGCACCTTGAAGATGCCACGTGACAGTCTCCTGCTGGCACGAGGAAAAACAAAGGCAAACATCCCCCCCCCCCCATATTGCCTCAAGATACTCAAGGGCAAGTGCTGTTAGCGAGCACCTATGGAAGCCGGCACGGCACACGAGGGGGTGGGGGTTGCCAGCACCATGCCCGGGCCGCCTTCGTCTCCCTCGTGGCGATGTTTTACACACCACACTCAGTACTCATTAAAGGCCGAGTCGACCTAGGGGAGGACCAGGACCGGTTCACATAACCGTCACACTGGTGTTGGACGTGAGTGGGAATCGAATGTAGCACGTTGTGCTACAATCGAATGTAGCACGTTGTGCTACAATCGATTCCCACTCACCTCGGGTTGCCGGGTTCGTAGCGCAGCGCGCTAACCCATACATACACACACACATACACACAGACACAACAACCACCATTCGCCACTAAGTGGCGGTGACGTCACCACGACGCTTGTGCCAGGCTATGTGCGCCTTGAGGCCACGTGGAGTGTCGAACGCCCGCTGGCAGGAGGTCACAGGGCTGACCCAGGTGCCACGGGTCAACTGACTGAGATGACTGGCTGATGCACCACCCGTGCCCCCTACCGTGCCAACCTGCTGTGCTTTAGCCACCCGGCGCTCCGCTCGTTGTTGTGAGCGTCGCTCCTCCACCCTCCGTTGTTGTTGGAGGGCGACTACCTCCAACTGCCCAGTAGCATCCTTCACGAGCCTCCTCCACAGAGGCCGATCTTGACACCGCTGGTACCAGTCATCGGCAAATCCACTCAGCTCCACGTCCTCCTGTACCACATCACTCCATCTCTTCTCTAGCCCGTGCCGCGCCTGTTTAGCCCCCTCGATCTGGCCGAACAAAAGCTGTTTCAGCATGCGGTGGCTGGGCATGCGGGCTACATGCCCCAGCCATCGCAGCCTTGCCCGCCGGAGGAGCTCACCGATGGGACCTTGCCCAGATCTTTCAAGGATTTGTGAGCTCCTCACACAATCCAGTCTGGTTAAACCTAGGATGGATCGTAGGCAGGCCAGCCTAAATGTTTCTAACCGGCGAAGACGTTCCATTAGGGGGGTCCACGTTTCGCAAGCGTAGAGAAGGGAGGGAATGACCGTGGCCGAGAAGACCTGAAGCTTAGTGCGGAGCGACAGACCAGGTAGCTTCCACACAGCGTTACGCAACCGATGAAAAGATATTGCCGCTCGACTGATTCGGAGTGAGACCTCTGCTGTTAAACTGGAGCCGGTCATAAGCACACTTCCCAGGCATGGGAAATTCTCCACTCTCTCCACAACTGCCCCATCACCGATTGGGAGTTGTGAGGGTGGAGTGTCTGATGGTACAAAATACCCAGGCAGGTGCTTATTTTTGGTGGGGCTGATGGTAAGGCCCCATCTCTTAGTGGCACACTCCAGTCTCAGCAGCAGCGTCTCCAACTCCTCCTCTGAATGAGCAGCTAATACCAAATCATCAGCATACATAACGTGGTTGAGCAATAGGGAGCCATCTCTTCACCGCACCCGGGCATCGATTAGCCTCCCATTATATCTGTACCATATGGAGATTCCCCCGGTACAGCGATTGAAGGCTTCACGAACTACGTGGTCAAAATAGATGTTAAATAATGTGGGAGCCAGAGGACATCCCTGTCGCACCCCAAGGTGTACAGGGAAAGGCTCGGACTCCCGGCCACGTAGTTTTACCTGGGCCCGCTCACCATCATGAAGGTCCTTAATGATCGTGAGCAGAGGGTCAGGTACTCCAAAAGCACGAAGAACAACCCAAAGCCCAGGCCTATTGATGGTATCATAGGCCCTGACCAGGTCAATAAAGCAGAGATGTAGGTCTTGCAGGAATTCCCTACACCTCTGCTGTAGCAGACGGACAGAAAATATGGCATCTGTGCAGGACCGCCCTTTCCTGAAACCGCATTGGGGCTCCGCAAGCCTCTTCTCAGCGTGCCTGGCAAGGCGATGTTGAATAATCCTTGCCAGGACCTTTCCCGGCAAACTGAGGAGTGAGATGCCCCTGTAGTTGTTACAGTCTGTGCGGTCCCCCTTCTTAAAGAGGCGGACCACCAGGGCATCCTTCCAATCCTGCGGAACCCGTCCAGTGGTCCAGACTGTTGTTATGATGTCATTTAGGGCAATCTGTGCACAAACTCCACCCTCCCTCAGCATTTCGCTTGGGAGATCATCTCTGCCCACTGCCTTTCCTGGTCTCAGACTCCGGATCACCCTCAGTACTTCCTCAACAGATGGCATTTCAGCCAGCCACTCACAGGGGGTGACTTCTTCCAATATTTGAGGCACCGCAGCCTCAGCAGGGTCATCCTCACTTTGTGCCACGATGTTTTCCTGGCTGAGGGATTTTCCCTCCCCCAGGACCTCACAGAAATGCTCAGCAAATCTGCAAACCTGTTCCTGGGGGTCGGAGATTGGATCACCGTTTTTTCCCCTAATGATGGTAAAAGGTGTGGCGCTGCAGGTTACTTTTTTGATGGAGTTAAATAGAGATTTGTGATCGTGGGCCACCGAGGCAGACTCCATCTCCTCAGCAACCCGCGACCACCACCCATCCTTGCAGCACCTCACGGCTCTCCGAACCTCCGAGCAAAGGTTGCGGTAAGCCTCCTCATTCTCTGACGTGGGATTCTGTAGCCGATGACAGTGGGCCTGTCGCTTTTCTCAACCATCCTGAACACCTCCTCTGTCAGCCAGGGTCTCTGGGGAGGTCCTGACCGCGTACCCAAAGCAGACATTGCAGCTGCATGAATCACAGTTCTAAACCTCGCCCATTTACCCTCGACATCAGGAGGAGTGGGGGACGATGCCAACCCCAGCCGCAGGCGATGATGAAATTCTCGCTTGCAACTTTCATCAGATAACCAAGACCAGGCCACTTTTGGTTGGAATGGGGTCCTGGGTGTACACCTACCACCGGAGCGGAAGAATGGGCGGCGCATCTTACAGATGACAAGTCGATGGTCAGAGGGCAGATCAGCTCCACGGTAGGTCCTGGTGTCAAGGACATGGGCTCCCATCCGCTGGTCTGTCACTATGTAGTCCAGCAGATGTTCTTGCTTGGACCCGGCATGCATCCATGATGTTGTGTGGATGCGCCGATACCGGAACAGCGTGTTGGTAATTACAAGTCCATGGGCTGCACAAAAATCTAGCAGCCTCCTACCGTTGTTATTATTGTCTGGCAAAACAACCCCCTACCCCCTCGCGGTGCCAGACGAGCAACTCTGCCGTGGACAGTGCTGTGGGGGGAGGGCCAATTCCGATTGGTTCCTCCCCTCATGGCATCTGTGACCACCACAGGGGCTAAACGGGGGCTCTGGACGGGTGCGAGGGGCTGGTAACCCCTCCACCTTCAAAAAATGACCACGAAACTACGACTTAAACAGACAGACAACAACAACAACAACAACAACCGCCATTCGCCACTAAGTGGCGGTGACGTCACCACGACGCTTGTGCCAGGCTATGTGCACCCTGAGGCCACGTGAAGTGTCGAACGCCCGCTGGCAGGAGGTCACGGGGCAGACCCAGGTGCCACGGGTCGACTGACTGAGATGACTGGCTGATGCACCACCTGTGCCCCCTACTGTGCCAACCTGCTGTGCTTTAGCCACCCGGCGCTCCGCTCGCTGTTGTGAGCGTCGCTCCTCCGCCCTCCGTTGTTGTTGGAGGGCGACTGCCTCCAACTGCCCAGTAGCATCCTTCACGAGCCTCCTCCACAGAGGCCGATCTTGACACCGCTGGTACCAGTCATCGGCAAGTCCACTCAGCTCCACGTCCTCCTGTACCACATCACTCCATCTCTTCTCTAGCCCGTGCCGCGCCCGCTTAGCCCCCTCAATCCGGCCAAACAAAAGCTGTTTCGGCATGCGGTGGCTGGGCATGCGGGCTACATGACCCAGCCATCGCAGCCTTGCCTGCCGGAGGAGCTCACCGATGGGACCCTGCCCAGATCTTTCAAGGATTTGTGAGCTCCTCACACAATCCAGTCTGGTTAAACCCAGGATGGATCGTAGGCAGGCCAGCCTAAATGTTTCTAACCGGCGAAGATGTTCCATTAGGGGGGTCCACGTTTCGCAAGCGTAGAGAAGGGAGGGAATGACCGTGGCCGAGAAGACCTGAAGCTTAGTGCGGAGCGACAGACCAGGTAGCTTCCACACAGCGTTACGCAACCGATGAAAAGATATTGCCGCTCGACTGATTCGGAGTGAGACCTCTGCTGTTAAACTGGAGCCAGTCATAAGCACACTGCCCAGGTATGGGAAACTCTCCACTCTCTCCACAACTGCCCCATCACCGATTGGGAGTTGTGGTGGTGGAGTGTCCGATGGTACAAAATACCCAGGCAGGTGCTTAGTTTTGGTGGGGCTGATGGTAAGGCCCCACCTCTTAGTGGCACGCTCCAGTCTCAGCAGCAGCGTCTCCAACTCCTCCTCTGACTGAGCAGCTATTACCAAGTCATCAGCATACATAACGTGGTTGAGCAATAGAGAGCCATCCCTTGACCGCACCCGGGCATCGATTAGCCTCCCATTATATCTGTACCATATGGAGATTCCCCCGGTACAGCTATTGAAGGCTTCACGAACTACGTGGTCAAAATAGATGTTAAATAATGTGGGAGCCAGAGGACATCCCTGTCGCACCCCAAGGTGTACAGGGAATGGCTCTGACTCCCGGCCACGTAGTTTTACCCGGGCCCGCTCACCATCATGAAGGTCCTTAATGATCGTGAGCAGAGGGTCAGGTACTCCAAAAGCACGAAGAACGACCCAGAGCCCAGGCCTACTGATGGTATCATAGGCCTTGACCAGGTCAATAAAGCAGAGATGTAGGTCTTGTTGGAATTCCCTACACCTCTGCTGTAGCAGACGGACAGAAAATATGGCATCTGTGCAGGACCGCCCTTTCCTGAAACCGCATTGGGGCTCCGCAAGCCTCTCCTCAGCGTGCCTGGCAAGGCGATGCTGAATAATCCTTGCCAGGACCTTTCCCGGCACACTGAGGAGTGAGATGCCCCTGTAGTTGTTACAGTCTGTGCGGTCCCCCTTCTTAAAAAGGGGGACCACCAGGGCATCCTTCCAATCCTGCGGAACCCGTCCAGTGGTCCAGACTGTTGTTATGATGTCATATAGGGCAGTCTGTGCACAAACGCCACCCTCCCTCAGCATTTCGCTTGGGAGATCATCTCTGCCCGCTGCCTTTCCTGGTCTCAGACTCAGGATCGCCTTCAATACTTCCTCAGCAGATGGCACCTCAGCCAGCCACTCACAGGGGGTGACTTCATCCAATATTTGAGGCACCGCAGCCTCAGCAGGGTCATCCTCACTTTGTGCCACGATGTTTTCCTGGCTGAGGGATTTTCCCTCCCCCAGGACCTCACAGAAATGCTCAGCAAATCTGCGAACCTGTTCCTGGGGGTTGGAAATTGGATCACCGTTTTTTCCCCTAATGATGGTAATAGGTGTGGCGCTGCAGGTTACTTTTTTGATGGAGTTAGACACACACACACATACACACACAGACAGACGCGCACAGAAACACACAGCTCGGTAATGAAAATCCACGTTCCGGTGTGCCTAAAGAATAACTTGTTTCACATGGCACATTTGCTGTTCACTCCATCGTCAGAGCACGGCTACCGCGTGGTCCTACCAAAAATTGCGACAAATTGCCCCCCCCTACCCATTCCAAGGTACATCGCGGGATCTCCGACAACCCCGGATGCCGGTGGCCGTGCCCTTGCACCGGGGCCGTGCCAACCCCTCCACCCCCGTACAGTGAACAACACCGATGATTTGCCTCGAGGGAAATAAAATAAAATTAATGGTAATGATCACGTCTCTGGAACCGGGTGAACCAGTAGGGGCGGTTACCAGAGGGCGAATGACTGTGCCAACTCTCCTCTCGCTCTCCCTCTTCTACCAGCTCCGCTATAACGATGACGAGAGAGATGCCACGGACTCCAGTGGAGTCATGCCCCGATCATTCCTTTCACCACGAGTCGCCAAGTTCTCTCCGAGGGAACAATGACCTCAAAAACGTTTTTTGGTTTGGACATGTTTGTTTTGTTGTAGTACGGAGTTAGATTGCTGGCCTTAATCTAAGTTTTCTTGTGGTTGTTGTTGTTTGACTTGCATCCCACTGGGATTTTTGCACACAGCGTTGGTGTACGGTGCTTTTTCAGGAATATTTTGCTGTTTTTTCCTGCATTTTCTGTTTGCACAGTCACATAGTCACTTTAAGATGTTTTCTTGTTCGTGTTTTGTTTGTTGTGGTTGCACCCGATTCAAGAGCCGAATGGCTCACAGGGCTATACCTAAAAAATGGAACTATGAAATGGAATAGAGTGATTGCCCTCCCCCCCCTGCTCCCCCCCACTCCATTCTGCCTGCACCCCCTCACCTCACATGCATTGGTTTATTCCAGGAACTCCAAACACTCACTAAATGTGGAGTTGTCCAAAGATCCCAGTGTTGTAGGACCACGAGAGCTTGGGCAATTGTTGTTGGTGTACAGCAGCGGCACCGATTGTGGGAGGCCGCCTTGGCACTCAGTCGCCCGTGCCTTTTTTCCCCATGCCCCCAAATCAACTCGCTCCCTGCCCGCCTCCCTCCCCGCCTGCCCCCCTCCCTCCCCGCCTGCCCACCTCCCTCCCCGCCTGCCCCCCTCCCTCCCCGCCTGCCCCCCTCCCTCCCCGCCTGCCCCCCTCCCTCCCCGCCTGCCCCCCTCCCTCCCCGCCTGCCCCCCTCCCTCCCCACCTGCCTCCCTCCCCGGAGAGTGACCCCAACACGACACTCGTTACAAAACGCAGCGCCAAACAACTGCAAAGATGCTCATCCTAATCATCATCATCCCCGTGTCCACGACCCTCATGACCTCCGTACATGCGCCCCGTGGCACTATTAATAGACGGAAGAAGATGACGACGTTCCATTCGCTACCGGGGCTGCTGCTGATAAACAACAGCCCCCCCCCCCCCGAGCCCCCCCGAGCCCCCCACAGCCCCCCCCCCAGCAAATGCAGCGAGAGGCAAACAGGAAGGGCCGGTCTAATTCGGCTCACGTTCAAGCGCGTCCGTGGCGTTCGCTGCCAAACTCCCTCCCTGCTATTGGCCACGTGCCGAGAACATCCATTACGCAACGAGCAGAAGGGCGCTCCCCCAGTTGGGGGGGGGGGGGGGGGGAGGAGGGGGCTGGTTCTCGCCTAGGTCGACTCGGCCTAAAATTAATGCAGCGTAACCCAACAGCACGTGGCCAGCAGTCGCACGTTCGCCACGTGGCCGTCAGCCTCCCGCCCGCCCCCCTGCCTGCCGCTGACGGAAGTGCTCCATTCCAATCCGACAGGCAGCCCTGGTTCATCGCCTGGTATACATAGGAGGTTCTCGCGAGTTCGACATCGACGCCTCCTGTATATTTGGAGTTTGCAATTTGATCTCCGTGGTCGCGTGGATTTTTCTTCGGTTCCATCGGTTTTTTTACCCTCCACATTTATAAAATCAACTTCACGCGTTTAGAGAATTTGGCTGCTTCACATCTCTCTACTTCCTTGAGCTGTCATTTGTGGCCAGGTCGCTTCTGGAAAAGAAACCAAATGGCTCCGTGGGTTATCTGCTCAAGTAAAATATATATTGTTTAGGGGTTTTTTTGGTTCGAGTGATTTGTTTACCTTGCCTATACCCTCCTGTCGTGTTTTTGTTTTGTTTGTTGATGTAACGGTCTAACAACCCGCCCACTAATGGATAACTCCGATGAGCTTTCATAACCTCATCCGATACCTCCTGCATAAACAAAGATTCTGATTCCGGTTAAGATCGTGTTGCGACGCCCGGGGGGGTGAACGGAGGGCCGGGTCCATCAACAGCACCTCCACCACCGCTCTGCCCAACGCAAATCCTCACACGGCGTTGGACGAACGATGGAGCGAGCACGCATGCCAAATGCGCCCCCTCCCCCACTCTCTCTCCCCGTCACAATGCCAGGTCGGAGATTTTTAATATCTCTGCAAACTGACGGTGGCCACGCAGGTGTGTGCCACCTGGGTGGTGTTTGTGTTGTGGGAGGCCAGCACCACGCCTCGGTCGACCTTTATCTCCCCAGTGGCGATGTTTACACACCGCACCAGGTACTCATTTAAAGCCTGAGTCGACCTAGGGGAGGCCCAGGACCGGTTCAGATTATCGTCACCCATGTTGGCCGTAACCCAGCCCCCACCTACGGGTACACGACAGCTACTGTGACAGAGAGGCTTCCAAGAAGTGTGACGTCCATTACCAGCTCCCCCCCCCATGACCCTCGACACTGGCCCCCCACGCCCCCCCCCGCCCCCACACAACCCCCCCCCCTCCCCACGGCCCGCAGTGAAGCGGCGATGTTGAGACCCCTGCGGTGATAACCACGGCGGCCTGTCTCGTTTCGACCCACTTGCGTGTGCACGCGTGAATGTGTGTAGGCGCTGCTCGCTGACAGCACTTACCCCCAACAGGCTACACACGGGGGGGAAGGGGACCTTTGTCTTTGTTCCTCACCGTGCCGACGTGAAGAGGGAGCCGTTGACGCCGCCGAACGTGGAGAGCGCCACGGAGATCGGCATGAGCCACGACATGACCCCCAGCAGCTTCTCTCCGAACGTCTGCACACGTGCACAAAGACAAAGAGCCCACCGCCCCGCGTAGCTCCAACAGGCTTGTTGGGGCAAGTGCCGGTGGGCGAGTGGTAGCACCTACGAAGGACTCGGGTGGCATACGAGAGGGTGGGTGGTCAGCACCATGACCCGCCGGCCACCTTCGTCTCCCACGATTGCTCCAGGTGCTCATTTAAGGCTGAGTCGACCTATCAGATAGGCCAGCACCGTTTCACGTAATCGTCACTGGGTGTTGACCGTAAGCGGGGAATCGAACTTGGGTCGCCAGGCTTGTAACCGCTACACTTACGGTCCCCCACACAAAATATAAATATACCCCTCCGTTTAGCCTTTTAACAGGCTGTTGGGGTAAGTGCTGTTAGCGAGCAGCACCTATGAAGGCCGGCACGGCACACGAGGGGGTGGGTGGCCAGCACCACGCCTGCCCAGCCGCATTTGTCTACCCAGTGCTGATACCTGGTACTCTTTGTATGGCCGAGTCGATATACACACATACACACACATCAAATGTAACTATTCAACTAAACTTTTTTTTATTTTTACCAGGTAAGGCCCACTGAGCCATATAGCTATTTTAGAGAAGCAACCTGGCCACAAATTATAGCTCAACGAAGTGGACAATCACGTGGACATATAGAGCAGCCAAATACTCTCTAAACGTGTGTTGTGGATTCTAAATGTGGAGGGAAAAAAGCCAAAGAAAATCGTAGAAAATTCCACGCAACCACCACGGATGGAGAGAGAGAGAAGCAAACCTCCATAAACAAGTCCGCGACCTCCTGCATACCAGGCGAGGTAGTTAACATCTCGCATCGTGGGCGGGGCCTCACCACGGCGACGGCGTTGGAGCTGAGGAGTTCTTCAGGAGACATAGCGGTGACGTAGGCGATGTTGGCGAACACGTAGACGAAGGTGACGAGCGGGATGGAGATGAAGATGGCACGCGGGAGATTCCTGCGGGGGGGGGGGAGCAGAGGGCGGGAGAACGGTGGGCTACGTACGGCGTGAAATAATTTTCTACTCGTTCGCACGGATAGGCTCCCATAAACCACGTGACTTCTGTGCGTGGCCACCCCCACTCTAAACCCCTCCCCTCTCCCCTCCCGCTGTGAAATCATACGCCACTCCACCTCCGTGCAGCAGCAGCAGCGGCAGGGTGGAGGCCGTGACGCAGCCTCTCTCCCCTCCCTCTCCTCCCCTGATCCCCCCTTGCTCCCTTTTCTCCACTCCGTCTCCACCCGACACCTCTCATCTCCCATTCCCTCTCCTCCTCGCTCTTCCTTCTCCCCTTTCTCTCTCCGCACATCGCACACCCTCGACTCCCTTCCCTCTCGTGGGTTCAAGATTTGTGCCATAAAGACGCCACATGTTGACCAATTTAATTTTACTGTCCACAACATCCAAAGGGCTGGTGTGAGAGTGGCACCCTCTCACACCGGAGGAGCGGGGGGGCGAAGATGACCCGAATGCATCTCGGCGGTAGCTCCAAGTTATCCACTTCCGCACAGTGGGGGAGCCTTTCTCCCATTGTTGCTCAGCCAAGTGACATTTGGGTGGGTTGAGGGGTAGGGCGTGTACAGAGTTACATTGATCTTTGTGGGGGGGGAGGGGGGGTGATGTTGACCTGTCGGGGCGGTGGGGGGTCACGTTGACCTCTAGGGTGGGGGTCATGTTGACCTCTAGGGTGGGGGTCATGTTGACCTCTAGGGTGGGGGTCATGTTTACCTGTAGGGTGGGGGTCATGTTTACCTGTAGGGTATGTCACAATGACCTGTAGGGGAGGGTCACCGTCCTGTCAGGGTAGGGGTCACGCTGATCTGCAGGGGGTGGGGTGGGGGGGGGGTTCACGCCAACCTGTAGGGGTCGACGAGCTCCTCGGTGACGTAGTTGAGGAAGTTCCACCCCCCGTAGGCGAAGGATCCCTGCAGGAAGGCGAGGGCGACGAGCCCCACCGTGGGCTCCTGCCACGCACGGAACGCGTTCTGGGGCTCCAGCCAGTGGTAGTGGCCTGGCTCACACACGCAACACCACACAACCAGCGTCACCTCGCACACACAACACCACACAACCAGCGTCACCTCGCACACACAACACCACACAACCAGCGTCACCTCGCACACACCACACAACCTGCGTCACCTCGCACACACAACAGCACACAACCAGCGTCACCTCGCACACACAACAGCACACAACCAGCGTCACCTCGCACACACAACACCACACAACCAGCGTCACCTCGCACACACAACACCACACAACCAGCGTCACCTCGCACACGCAACACCACACAACCAGCGTCACCTCGCACACGCAACACCACACAACCAGCGTCACCTCGCACACACAACACCACACAACCAGCGTCACCTCGCACACACAACACCACACAACCAGCGTCACCTCGCACACACAACACCACACAACCAGCGCCCGCGTCACCTCAACAGACCTTTGGGGAAAGTACCGGGGGGGGGGGGGGGGAGGGTGGCGAACCCCCCACGCCCGGCCGCCTTCGTCTCCCCAGTGGCGATGTTTTTACACACCGCACCAGGTACGCATTTAAAGGCTGAGTCGACCGCTCCCACACACGCACACACACGCATACACACACGCACCGCCATTCGCCACTAAGTGGCGGTGACGTCACCACGACGCTTGTGCCAGGCCATGTGCACCTTGAGGCACACACACGCACACACACACACGCGCATGGTCACGTCTCACGGTGCCGCCACGCCGCCGTTTCGTGGCCTCCGGGGGTTTGGGAGCGCAGCGGCGCCAACCGCTAGCGCTCCCGGCCAAAATGACGACGACACCACCACCGTCAACGATGCATGCAACAGACTGGCGCGGAACCGGTGGGGGGAGGTGGGGTGTGTGGGAAATCAGGTTTGACGCAGCAAACTCGGAGAACAATGGCCTAAAAGAGCAACGGACGCGGCGAGGGAGCGGAGTCGGAGGGGGCTCGCTGGGAGCGGAATAGCGGCACCGCGGTGGCCACGCCGGCGCACGCAACCATCGTCGTCCATGCGAATGTTTACACAGAGCACGGTGGGCGCCGCTCTGAAGCGAGGGCGAGCGTGCGGGTGCGTGGTAGGGATAGCGTGAAGCACGGCGGCGGAGTGGGCAGGGACGCTGCTGCGATACGAACCCACTCATGCGGGTTCGATTCCCGCCCACGGCCAACACCAGTGGACGATTGTCCGAACCGGTTCTGGGCCTCCCCAATGTCGACTCGGACTCAAATGAGTATCTGGTGCGGTGAGTAAACATCGGCACTGGGGAGACAAAGGCGGTCGGGCGCGGTGCTGGCCACCCACCCCCTCGTGTGCCGCGCCGGCCTTCGTAGGTGCCACTTGCCCCAATAGTCCTAAGGCTATACAGCGGACCTTTGTCTTTGTATCTTTGAGCGAGTTTGTGCGCAATGCTGCGAGCGAGTGCGATCCAGCGCCGAGTTAATTTGCGAGCGCGCAAGTGACCGGGAGAGTGCGGCGTGCGAACGTGCACTTGACCGTGTGAACCGACACGCCTAGAACACGCCAACGAGAGTGCGGGTGGAGACCGGGGGCTGTGTGGAGGGAGGCGCGACCCCCCCGTGACCTCGGACATGTGATCGACGTATTTCACAGTCTGCTGAGGTTTAATTAAGCTGCGGATTTTCACGTAATCTCTTCAAAAGCGCCACATTCCTAACGTCCGCCAGCCCACCCCCCCCCCCCCCTCCTGCAGCGGTTGGCAGCGGTGGGAGAGTTATGACAGTGCGGGTACACGCTGCGATCCAGACCTGGACGACGAGACACGGGTAAAGGTGCAGCCCTGCAACGCCACGCTCAGACCACCGCCGTTAGAAGTGTTCCAATCCACCTCCAGCAGCGGCACGACCGTGACGTGCGGCGTGAGTCGCGTGCACTGCGCGCGCCAGCAAACCGCGGTTAACAACATCGCCGCCGCCATCAACCACGGGCCAATCCACCACCGGGTCGGGGCCTCCCTCCCCGCGAGCCATCGCCGCAGCGATCCACGCCAGCGCGTGCACAGGAACCGAGTTCAGCGTCCCTCCACCTCCCTCCACGGTGGACGTCCCTCCCGGCCGCCGCGTTCCATCCCTCGGCTGCCGCTCCGTTGCAAATCCCCGACTGCAGGCCAGCGCCGGCCCCTTCTGGCCGCACCACGGCCGGCCCAGGGGCCCCCGCGGCCGGCCCAGGGGCCCCCGCGGCCACGACCTTTGACACGCGGCGCCCCTTTCACGACCAATGTCACGATTCACCGTTGACGATTTTTTGTTGTTGATGTCGTTTGGGTCGGATCGCCGCACAATGTGGAACACGCCTCCCCGTTATGACGTGCACCATTGTGAAGCAGACTGCACATTGTTAGAACGTGGAACACGCCTCCCACGTTATCATGCTGAACGCGCCCCGAACTCCGGTTGCTGGGTTCTTAGTGCAGCGCGCTTGCCCCACGCACAACAAAGACGACGACACATTCTCCGCAAGCTGACAATTAATACACCGCCGTTGGCAGGACCCTCTTGGACAAAAAGAACCTTGAGATTTGGCGTTTGATTGCCCCCAGTGACACCAAACCCAGTGCTCCTCTTTTAAACTCCCGATTAATCCCCTAATGCTGGGGGTCACCGAGGTCACCCCCCCCCCCAACCGGCCAGCACTCATCACCAAAGCCGAATGCGAGAAGTCGCATTCCAGAAATATTCGGCATGGGGCGACGGTTCCTGGAAATCTCCACGGCACGGCCGGGAGGGCCCCGTGGGCGGTGGGGGCCCACGATAATCGCCGGGATAAACCGGCGCAAGTAATTAGTGGGCGGTATTTGAGAGCTTTTAGCGGCTGTAGAAATAGATATATAAATATAATATGCGACGTTTGCGGGTAAGCGTGGCCCGTGACCTTCTTCGCAGCACATCAAGAAGGTCCATTGCCCCAAATCTCGCCGATTTGCCGCAAAGGTGGGGTTCATGGGTTTTTACTTTAATTTAATTATTTTAAATCACCGGTCACACCATCGCACAACCCCCGGGTGGGGTGGGGGGGGGGGGGTACGGAGGTGTGACGGTCCACACGCTGGACTAGCGATGCGACGGGTGGGTGAGTGGAGCAGTGAGTGAGTAACGGAGGCAGGAATGAGCGAGTGAGCGATCGAGCAAGTGACCGATTGAACGAGTGACTGTGCGAGTGACTGTGCGAGTGACTGAGCAAGCGAGCGAGCGAGCGAGCAACCGAGCATGAGCAAGCGAGTGAACGGATGACCGAGTGAGCGAACGGGCGACTTGAGGAATTGATCGAGTGCCCGGGTGAGCGAGTAAGTGACCGAGCGACCGAGCGACCGAACGAGCGGTACCTCTGCAGATCTGCACGAAGCCCATGACGATGATGAGCGCGAGGGCGAGCAGCTTGCCCCCGGTGAACACGTCCTGCACGCACGTGGCCCAGCGCACGCTCGAGCAGTTCACCCACGTCAGCAGCACTGGGCAAGGCCAACGACAAAGAAGCACCCCCCACCGCGTCACCTTTAACAGACCGATGGGGCAAGCGACGTTAGCGAGCAGCACCTGCAGAAGACCGGCACGGCACACGGGGGGGGGGGGGGGGGGTTTGTGGCCTGCACCGCGTCAGGCCACCTTTGTCTCGCCAGTGCCGACGTTGACAACACACCGCACCAGCAAGGCCGAGTCGACCTTGGGGGGAGACGGGGGGGGGGGGGGTGAGGGACCGGTTAAAACAATAGTCACCGGTGCTGGTGGCCACCAGCGCGGGGTTGCGCTAATCGCCGCGCCACCGCTCCGGCGCACGGGAGCAGGTGGCGCGCGGTCCACTCGCTCCTCGCCCGCGTGCGAGGACTGGCACCTCCGTGACATCTGATTAAGGGTGCGACTCACAAAGAGGGCCACAAGCTGGGTGAGTGACACACGCAAAGACAAAGGTCCCCCGCGTAGCCTCTCAGAGTGTTTGGGGCAAGTGCCACACCCGCAAGCCTCCTCCGGTCAGCGGCGAGCCTCCTCCCGACATTTCGCCACGATGGCCTCAAAGTGCACCCAGCCTGGCACAAGCGCCGTGGCGACGTCGCCGACGCTTAAGTGGCGAACGGCGGCTGCTCCGGTGGTTGTTTGTTGTTGTTGTGTGTTGTGTGTTGGTGGTTGTTTGTTGTTGTTGTTGTTGTGTGTTGTGTGTTGGTGGTTGTTTGTTGTTGTTGTGTGTTGGTGGTTGTTTGTTGTTGTGTGTTGGTGGTTGTTTGTTGTTGTGTGTTGGTGGTTGTTTGTTTGTTGTTGTGGGTTGGTGGTTGTTTGTTGTTGTGTTGGTGGTTGTGTGTTGTTGTGTGTTGGTGGTTGTTTGTTTGTTGTTGTGGGTTGGTGGTTGTTTGTTGTTGTGTTGGTGGTTGTGTGTTGGTGGTTGTTTGTTTGTTGTTGTGGGTTGGTGGTTGTTTGTTGTTGTGTGTTGGTGGTTGTGTGTTGTTGTGTGTTGGTGGTTGTGTGTTGTTGTGTGTTGGTGGTTGTTTGTTGTTGTGTGTTGGTGGTTGTTTGTTTGTTGTGTGTTGTGTGTTGGTGGTTGTTTGTTGTTGTGTGTTGGTGTGTTGTGTGTTGGTGGTTGTTTGTTGTTGTGTGTTGGTGGTTGTTTGTTTGTTGTTGTGTGTTGTTGTTGTGGGTTGTGGTGGATTGTTGTTGTGGATTGTTGTGGTGGGTTGTTGTTGTTGTTGTGGTGGGTTGTTGTTGTTGTGGTGGGTTGTTGTTGTTGTGGTGGGTTGTTGTTGTGGTGGGTTGTGTGAAGTGATATCCCTGAGATCGGGAGGGAGGGATGGACTGGTCCCATTGTTTTAGCGCAGACTCGGGGGGAGGGGCGGTGGTGTGGGGGGGGGGAACAAAGGGACAGAGACAACAAAGGGACAGAGACAGCAAAGGGACAGAGACAGCAAAGGGACAGAGACAACAAAGGGACAGAGACAGCAAAGGGACAGAGACAGCAAAGGGACAGAGACAACAAAGGGACAGAGACAACAAAGGGACAGAGACAGCAAAGGGACAGAGACAGCAAAGGGACAGAGACAACAAAAGGACAGAGACAACAAAGGGACAGAGACAGCAAAGGGACAGAGACAACAAAGGGACAGAGACAGCAAAGGGACAGAGACAGCAAAGGGACAGAGACAACAAAGGGACAGAGACAGCAAAGGGACAGAGACAGCAAAGGGACAGAGACAACAAAGGGACAGAGACAACAAAGGGACAGAGACAGCAAAGGGACAGAGACAGCAAAGGGACAGAGACAGCAAAGGGACAGAGACAGCAAAGGGACAGAGACAACAAAGGGACAGAGACAACAAAGGGACAGAGACAGCAAAGGGACAGAGACAACAAAAGGACAGAGACAACAAAGGGACAGACAGCAAAGGGACAGAGACAACAAAGGGACAGAGACAACAAAGGGACAGAGACAACAAAGGGACAGAGACAGCAAAGGGACAGAGACAACAAAGGGACAGAGACAGCAAAGGGACAGAGACAGCAAAGGGACAGAGACAACAAAGGGACAGAGACAACAAAGGGACAGAGACAGCAAAGGGACAGAGACAACAAAGGGACAGAGACAGCAAAGGGACAGAGACAGCAAAGGGACAGAGACAACAAAGGGACAGAGACAACAAAGGGACAGAGACAGCAAAGGGACAGAGACAACAAAGGGACAGAGACAACAAAGGGACAGAGACAGCAAAGGGACAGAGACAACAAAGGGACAGAGACAACAAAGGGACAGAGACAGCAAAGGGACAGAGACAACAAAGGGACAGAGACAGCAAAGGGACAGAGACAACAAAGGGACAGAGACAACAAAGGGACAGAGACAACAAAGGGACAGAGACAACAAAGGGACAGAGACAACAAAGGGACAGAGACAACAAAGGGACAGAGACAACAAAGGGACAGAGACAACAAAGGGATCGCCCTCTTCCTGTCGCCCGGGTCCCACGCTCCCAGCGCACGCGCGTGGTGCAGGCTGTGCGCTGCACGCGGAGCAAAGGAGCAGCCCTGCAACTGCTCGCCGGCACAGGCTGCCGCCAGCAGAGTGGTGGCCCGCAAAAGCACGTGACACAACGTACACAGTGCGTCATGTACATTTATACAAGACAAAGACCCCCCGTATAACCTGTACATACCGCTGGGGCAAGTGCTATGAGCGAGCACCCATGAAGCCTGGAACGGCACACGAGGGGGTGGGTGGCCAGCACCACGCCGGACCGCCTTTGTCTCCCCAGTGGGCGATGTTTACTTACACGCTGCACCAGGCACTCATTTGAGGCCGAATCGACCAAGGGGAGGCCCAGGATCGATTCAAATAATCGCCACTGGTGTTGGCTGTGAGCGGGACTCGAACCAGGTTCGTAGCGCTAACTGATACACTACCACCCTGCTCGCTTCTCCAGGAACGCATCCCGAGCGCTGAGCGAGGGCTGCCCGTGCGGGCAAAGGTCGTCGCTGAAACGTGTCGCGGTGCTTTCTTCTGCCGCCGCGAGGGGACACCTTTCGCACAACTCGGAGCGTGCGCGACGTCACCACTTCGCTCCCGGGCGCTCGGCGAGTTTGAGCCGAGCGGCTGAAACGGTGACGCAGCGGCGTACCCACCTCGGGCACTTGTCCCGCGCGTGGCGTCGCACGCGGGAAATCGCATTATCGCCAAAAAAAATGTTAAAGAGCCGTTACGTCATTCGTTGGGCGATCGTTCCCGTCTCACGCGGCACTTTTCAGGAACGAATCTTTCGCGTCAAACCGAGGGACTCGCCGGTCGGCACGGATGTCCGCGTGTGCAGTGCACGTCACATCGGCTCGAGTAACACCGTAATTCACACCACCTCCACCCCACGCTGCGCAAGCGGATAACGCAGAACTACTGCCGAGATGGCGCCATCCCAAGTGACTTCTGGTCCATTAACTTTGAAGGGGGGGGGGGGGAGGGGGCAGCACCCTCACACCCTGCCACGGAGAGGGAGGAACGTTCACATGAAGAGGCGAACTCCGTTCGAGAGAGAGCGAGAGAAAGAGAGCGCGTGACGACTCGTGTTCACCGGAAGTGAAAAAAGCAACAACGACATCAACGATCCAATTACAAAGTGAACAGAAATCGGCGCAAAATCAACGGCGTCATCATGGAGCACGACTCGAAATAACGTGGGAGTCGTAACTACGCACCCACCACCACGCTCCTCCGTCTCTCATTCATTCTCCCCCGTCTCCGAATCTCCCCCTCTCATCCTGCCCCCCTCTGCTCCTCCCCCCCCCCCCTCCCTCGACGGCAACTCTGTGCCCTGTGTTTGTGCGTCTCTGCTGACCAGAAATACCCAGGTGGTGGCGGGGGGGGGGGGCGAAGATGGATGTGGTGGCGGCTGAGATGCACACTGTCCCGTCAACATGTTTTGTGTCTGCTCCAAGAACTCTGCACTCAACGACCCCCTCCCAACCCACGCCCTGCTGTAGCTAGACCACAGAGACTCATGTTCGTCTGGGGGTCCTCTATGCGAGGCTATGGCTGTGTGTGTGTGCGCGCGAGTACATGGGTGAGTCTATGGTGTCTGTAAATCTATGGGTCTCTATTTGAGTATGGCCGTATGTGCGAGTCTACGGGTCTATGGGGTGAGGCTTTGGGTGCATTCTGTGGGTTCTGTGGGTGTGTGCAAGTCTTTGGGTCTGTATGTCTATGTATGGATCTATGCGAGTATATGTATGGTCTCTATGCGCGTACATGCATCTCTACATATGTATGGGTGGGTATTTGAGGAGCGGTAGTGGAGCGGTTAGCGCGCTGCGCTTTGAACCGGGTGACCCGAGTTTGATTCCCGCTCACGACCAACACCAGTGACGATTATCCGAACCGGTCTTGGGCCTCCCCCGGGTCAACTCAGCCTCAAATGAGTACCTGGTGTGTAAATATCACCACGGGGGAGACAAAGGCGGCCGGGCGTGGTGCAGGCCACCCACACCATCGTGTACCGTGCCAGCCATCACAGGTGCTGCTCGCTAACAGCACTTTCCCCAACAGTCCCTTGCAGGCTATACGGGCGACATTTGTTTTTAACGAGTGGGTGTTGAGAGAACGCCTTGCATCTCACAATCTCAGCCGCAACCAGTGGGCAGGCAGCCTCAGTCGAGGGCAGTGGGGGCGGTGGGGGGGGGGGGCACCCCCGCCGGCAGCTGTCCCCGCGCGGCACAACGCGACCGCAGCCTGCAAGTGGCAGGAGGCGCCACGTGAAACAACAACAACAACCAGAATAGCATCTCTGTGTGGTGGTGGTGTGGGGGGGGGCGGGGGGATTCCTCCCAGCCCCGCCCCCAGCCCCGTGCCGTCTGGAACTACGCTGCTTGCCCACCGCATTCACAGACGCCTGGCAAAATCTACCCCCCCCCCCCCCCAAGGCTTGTCTCCCCCCCCCCTCCCATTGCCGATGGCGCGTAGACTAAACTACGAACAATCTTATGTATA